CCTGATTACTAGAACTTATAATTAACGCACATGTTCAAAAGATCAGTCATAAATTTACATGGTTAGTTTATGTTCGTGATTTAAGTGATCTTGTTCTCCGGTGTCCATGCTGTTCCGTTTTAGGGTACTTCATTTTGGATTATTTCTGATTTGCTTACTAGCACTAGAGATTTATGATGTATTTCATAACTGATGCCAGTTTATTTTAGGACATATAACCAGTATTATAGTTCGACTGTACATATGTAAAATTTTCGCTAGTAATAGATTGTGAAACTTTTCTTATTTTGCAAGTCATAGTTGACTGACTTCCCAATAGGAAAGCAATCTAGGTTACAAATGCGCAAGGATGTTGTAGCCTAATATTACCTTACTGCAGACAAATAAGGTATTCAGAAACCGTCTTACTCATTAACTGTCTACAGTCGTGCGACGAACTTTTGGTCTATTATTGTTTAACGTAATCAACATATTAAAATATTGTTTATACTTTCTGGCGGGATTTAAAACATGCGGTCGATGAGCGAAAACGAGGACTTCAATGATGAATGTTTGCGCGAACATAATCGAATCCGAAAAAACCACAGTGTTAAGCCCCTACGCCACAGTCATGCACTTGACCGAACAGCCCAAGAGTGGGCGGAAAATTTATTGAAAAAGGAAGTTGTTACAAATAGTCCTTTATCAAGCCGCGGCGAACTTGGTGAAAGTATTAGTAAAAGGACAAGCACAAGCGAGGCAGTTGATATTTCTGGTAAAATGCTTTCACGAAGCCGACCCATTCGTTGCAGGAACGGAGGTTGTTGCTCAATGGTACAATGACATAAACAGTTACAACTTCCAAACCGGGGCCGGTGCCGCAGGTTAAGAACTTATATTTGTAAATTTACAAGGCAATTTTTGTAGTTTAACAAAATAAAAAACACCTGCACATTTTTCTTTAATAATTAGCATACGTTTATACTAAGTTTTACAGAGTTTCTAGCAGCCGCTGTTTTGATAATTTTGTCTCATTATGCATCCTGGAGAACGGATTGAAATGGGCTCTACAAATATGCGTCTATTATATATAGAAACACTGCTAAATAAACCGCTTCTACAGTAAAATTAAAGAATATTCGCCCTCAGAATAGCATGGGTAAAGGGCAGTTCATCATAAATCACAGGACGAGCCTTACTTATTTTTGCGCTTGAAGAATAATCATCTGCATAACTTGCTTAAGCGTATAAGCCACTGAAAATACGCTTTCCTCACGCTTTAAAATAGGAGTCGACATTTCGTAAATTTAATATTTTTTGGAGGTTACCGAATGTTTCCTCAGAGTACTGTTCGCAATGTTTACTGTTGGCCAATTTTACGCACCTTCAGAGCCTGCCTTAGTGAGATCACCTGGGAAGAGTTATGGAGCAAAAGTCACCAAAGTTAGTTTTTAGTGCCCGTTCATAATAAAACTACTTTGTTCTGCGAGCAGTTGGATATAAATTCCAAAGTTCCCAATTCCCAAGCCGCATTTATCATATAAAAACGACTTAAGAGAGCTATTGCTCAGGTATTTGTACCATTTTTTAAAAAGTGTAATTTTTACCGTGACCAATAATGTTTTAAATTGACAATAAATATATGCATATAATCATGTGATCTTATTTAGGCAATTTTACACAAATGGTTTGGTCGCGCACTCGTGAAGTTGGTTTTGGAAAGGCAAGTGCAAGAGGACAGTGTGTCGTTGTTGCACATTATCGTCCTCCTGGAAATATTCGCGGTCGGTACCTTGAAAATGTCTTTCCGCCGATATGTCCTGAACGAATGCAACCGAAGCAAACGAATACACGTATAAATCCTACGTATTTTTCATCAATAATTTCGATGCTTATGTACCTTAATTGAAGTACAGTTAATTCTCATAGATATGCCAGTTAAATGCATCGTGTTTCTCAAGTTTTTTCAGTGTTCTGATTTGTTTTGACGATTAATTTTACATATCTTAAGACGTTTGTCTGTGTAGTTTACCCGTTTCAAATATAAAATTCATTGTAAGATTTAAAATAACCTAGAGACCCTTAACATTTCTGAGGACACAATATTCTAAAGCAATTCGAAGACGGTTATGGAAAATGTTCTTCAAATCACCCAACCACAGACTGAGGTGTAAAATGCTGATCGCTAAAGAAGTTAAATTATCGTTTTAACTTTTCTACTCAAGTCAAAAACTCTTTGAAATTTCGGTAGAGAGATCTAACATTTAAAAAACTAGTTATGTTTGGACAGTTACGACCTTAATATATTCTGTCATAGGAGTAAACTTAAAAATTTATGTTTAAATCCGTGTTTTTGGATTGACCGTCTCGGAAGACAACTGCAAAATGCTAACAATTTGATAATTGTTTTCGATTAGGTTCAAAAGACGTCTGGAAACGTACTTATACCGAACGGGAAGTTGACGCTGATGGCAACCAGTTTGATGTTAAGAAGGAAGTATTTGAAACTAAGGATAAAGACGGAAACGTAAGTAGAAGCCTTTGCTGCATCTTCAAATACCTATAACCTGATCTCAACCAAGCCATTTCTCTATAAGCCATGCATTTAGACCCTAGTAAGTCGAGATAAGTTCTTTTTAGAATTCTGAACCAAGTGCATTGCATGTGTATGTCTAGTTTATTCTTTCATTCGCCACCTAACTCATGATACCTTTATTGCACTCCTCACAGATACATCGACGAGTTATCAACAGTTACCAGAACTGTGATCCCTTTTCTATGAAGATTCCGGAAAATTCCACGACATCCAACATGGCAGAAAAGCTTGTAAGTTTTTACTTTCATTGAAAAAGTATCCTTGTTTTAAGTAATTACCGTTATTTAAGGCTTTAAATGACAAATCCTTAAGTCAAAACAAAAAACTGCTCAGTTAAACTGGCCGATACAAGTCGTATTTGATGAGACATTTATATTTCATAAACAGCATATTTTATCCCTTTTCCTTCAATGCAAGTGTTATTTAGTGCATCCTTCCTCATTTGTGTATTTTGCAAAAAACCTATGTCCCGTTTTCTTGCCATTTGCAGTCCCAATCAACTACAGCAACAGCAGTAAAACATCCTCCTTTGGTAAAACATGAGGAGTTTGTAAACGGCATCGTGACAACCCATAACCGGTACAGATCAAAGCACGGATCCCCTGAACTCGTCCTGAATTCAGTAAGTTCACAAAATGTAACTTGTCGCCGTGCTGGAGAGTCGCATAAAACTAGCTAGTTTGCTGGGTTTCTGGGGGCAAGTGCACGTGTGTGCTCTTCAAGGGCGCGAAATTATTCATATGTGCAGTGTGTGTGCCAAGCGTGCTGTTCGCTCGAATCGGTGATTCACGCGCGGTCACGCGCGCTAACAAGAATTTGTATCACCCCCGGTAAGTCAGAAGGCGACATTGAAGCGTCTGGACTTACAGGTTTTTGGTGAGTTAGTCGTCATCATGGCGTTAGATGTACAATTAATGTGAATAAATAAGTGCTTATTTGCCACAGGTATCGCTTATAGGCTCTGAAATAAGTGAATGTGGATCAATAGCAATGATTCGAAATT